CCAAAGGTGCACGCTACCATATCCGGCTAATTTTTTCCATTTATTGTAGAGACGAGGGCTTGCCAAGCTGCCCAGGCTGGTTTCGAACCCGCGGGCTCAGGCAGTCCACTCACCTCGGCCTTCCAAAGTGCTGGGATTACAGGCTGAGCCACCGAGCCCGGCCCCAGTTTTTTGGTTTCTTGTTGCCTTACATTGATGTCTGCACATTCAAAGAAGTAGGGAGGGACTTATTCCAGTGTTTGCAGACTGGCTTTGTCTGGGAAAGCCCTTTACCAGTCAGCCCGTACAGAGGTCCTCGCAAGACTGTCAGGCATGGTCCATGGACAGGCTGGTTTGGTGCCTGTGTCTTTGAGGGATGAACAGAGGAGTGAGAGAAAAACTGCTGCCTGGACTGTGGAGAGGGTGGTCAGGGATGATTTCACAGAGGCAGTGACATTCAAGCTGCAGTTTAAAAAAATTGGGAGGGACCAATGTGAAGGAAGTGGGTGGGGGCTATGGGATGGCATTCAGCAGAAGGAATAGCACCAGCAGACGTGCAGAGGTGCAGTATATACCAATATGAAGGCCAGTGTGGTGTGGGGTAGGAGTGCTGAACGAGGTGGTAGGGAATGTGTTGAGGTATTTCAAAGGGATCCTTCAGTGCCATGCTGAGGAGTTAACTCTTCGATTATCAGCAACAAGAAGCCATTACTAGAGAATTAACCCAATAAGATCAGATAGTTACTCGGCAAATACCAAGCACAAACTATTTGCCAAGTAGTTAGGGCAACAGAAGTATGAGTTATGGTCTCTATCCTCAGTAACATTAGAGTCTAGTTGTGACAATAAGAGACAAAAGTTAAGTGCTTCTTCATAATATGTCTCCAGGTCTGTAGGACTGAGTGAATAGATGCAGCTGAGGGTCAGGAAGTCTTCCTGGAGGAAGTAGCACTGGAGCTTGGGCTGTGAAAGAAAAGATTTAGGGAGTTGTCAGTGAGGCCGTTCTAGGTTCAGTGTTACTAGGGCTAAAAGGATCTTAGAGTTCCTTTCAAATTGGAAAACTGAAATCCTAAGTGGGGAAACCAGAGCTGCCTGGTACTCCCACCACACAGCATGAGTGGGAGTGGAAAGGTGTGAGTGGGTGGTAGGAACAGAAAAAAGTGCTGCACCTGACTTTTCCACCCGAACTGCACATCACTTTTTTTAAGGCTGGTGGTAACCAGGATGTGTCCTTGCAGGTCATGTCCAAAGTGATGGAGATGTTTCAGCCTAGTGCAGTGGTCTTACAGTGCGGCTCAGACTCCCTGTCTGGGGATCGGTTAGGTTGCTTCAATCTGACCATCAAAGGTGAGGCCAGGTAGCACAAGGATGGGTGGGCAGGGTCCTGCTGGGGGCTCCTGTAACCCAGCACCCCTTCTCCCCCCAAAGGGCACGCCAAGTGTGTGGAATTTGTCAAGAATTTCAACCTGCCCATGCTGATGCTGGGAGGAGGTGGTTACACCATTCGTAATGTTGCCCGATGCTGGACATATGAAACAGCTGTGGCACTGGATACAGAGATCCCTAATGGTAAAGCTCCGGGCTGGGCTGGGCTGGGCAGGGCAGGAGTGGGTGCTCATGTGTCCTTAAGCTCACAACCCTTTCCCTGCTGGTCCTCTGCCCCCTCATCTTCAAATACTAGTCATTGAGCTCCTATCTATCCCCTTGTGACTGACAGACCATAGCCATCATTTTTTCCCCTAGTCCTTTCTGACTCTGTCCCCTCTCTCTCCTGCTTTCGGTCTGGATATAATTATCAGTGGTTATTTATTTATTTTTTTTGAGTTGGAGTCTCTGTCGCCCCGGCTGGAGTGCAGTGGCACACTCATGGCCACCGCAGCCTCAACCTGCTGGGCTCAGGTGATCCTTCTGCCTTAGCCTTCTGAGTAGCTGGAACTATAGGCATGTGCTACCATGCCCAGCTAATTTTTGATTTATTGTAGAGATGAGGTCTCACCAAGTTGCCCAGGCTGGTCTCAAACCTGCTGGCTCCGACAATCCTCTCTCTTCAGCCTCCCAAAGTGCTGGGGTTATAGGCATGAGTCACCGTGCCCAGCCATCAGTGGTTATTTACATCCTTAGGATTTCTATTATAGAGTAACTGGAATAGTGAACAAGGGAATACTGAGTACACAATGAGCGCCTGCAAGGTCCTATACCAGGGGCTTAGGTCTTATAGTGACATACATGCCACTGGAATGGACACAGGAGAATGGTGTTAAGATTGAAATTCAGCCAGGCTCCATGGCTCAGCTTGTAATCCCGTGCTTTGGGAGGCTGAGGTGAGTGATTGCCTGAGCCCGCGGGTTTGAGACCCGCATAGGCAACTTGGCAAGACCTCATCTCTACAATAAATCAAAAAATTAGCCGGGCTGTAGTTCCAGCGCCTGTAGTTCCAGCTACTTGGAAGGCTGAGGCAGAAGGATTGCCGGAGCCCAGCAGGTCAAGGCTGCAGTGGCCGGGAGCAGCCACTGCACTCCAGTCTGGGCCACAGAGTGAGACTCCAACTCAAAAAAAAAAAAAAAAAGATTGAAATTCCATAGGCACTCAAGTCTCACCATGTCTCTGAGGCATTCTTCTGATTAGATGGGTAGATGGGCCCAGAGAAACCTACAAATGCTTTTCTCAGGGGCCCATGATGGCTACGTGTTTCGATTCTCTTCCCCCCTCCCCCAATCAGAGCTTCCGTATAACGACTACTTCGAATACTTTGGACCAGATTTCAAACTCCACATCAGTCCATCCAATATGACCAACCAGAATACTAATGAGTACCTGGAGAAGATCAAGTGAGTATATCCTCTGGCCACCCTTGACTGAACATTCCAGACTCTGGTTTGTCCTTCACCAGAGGCCAGCTACTCTTTGTCCCATTGGCCATAGACAGCGACTGTTTGAGAACCTGAGAATGCTGCCCCACGCACCTGGGGTCCAAATGCAGGCGATTCCTGAGGATGCCATCCCTGAGGAGAGTGGTGACGAGGACGAAGAAGACCCTGACAAGCGTATCTCAAGTAAGACCCAGACCCAGGGGCCTGTACCTTCCCACTCAGTAGGCAGCTCTGACTTCTCTCCGCTGTGCTTAGTTCTGCATTCCCCGAGCTACCCGCCTGTTGAGAAACCCAAGTTTCAAGTTCCAGGGTCTGTCTCTTGGAGGGTACAAAGGGAAGCACTGGGCATAGAACCTGAAACAACCTCCTGCTTCCTCACCCATACCTTCCACTGCCCCCAGTCTGTTCCTCTGACAAACGAATTGCCTGTGAGGAAGAGTTCTCCGACTCAGATGAGGAGGGAGAGGGTGGCCGCAAGAACTCTTCCAACTTCAAAAAAGCCAAGAGAGTCAAAACAGAGGATGAAAAAGAAAAGGACCCAGAGGAGAAGAAAGGTGGGTTTGGGTTGGGCCAGGACTTGGGTCTTGAGCCCGGTAAGGATGAATCTATGTAGGGCCCTGGCGGAGGGAGCTAACACAGGCCTACTGGCCCCTGTGGGGCTCTCCTTCAGCTCCGCGGGCTTTTCAGTGACTCCCAGAAGTGGCAGGGCCCACAAAACAATGGAACTCACCGCTGTGAGCAGAGCCCTCTCGCGTACCACCCAAGCCCTTTTCCCAGCACTTCACCCCATTTTCCCAGGGGGCTGCCTCCACCCACCAGGTTCTGGCTGGAGCAGGCTGGGAAGCCGGTCCAACCTGTTCTCAACAGGGCTCACTGGGAGGACCAGGGATGGGCTTTTCTCTTTTGTATGTCCAGTGAGCTGTAGTGTTGGGGAAGGGCTTAGGGAAAGTGAAGACCTTATGGGTCTTTCCCGAGGGGCTGCCCTTGGCCATCCCTACACTCTTGTGTTCTAGAGGTCACAGAAGAGGAGAAAACCAAGGAGGAGAAGCCAGAAGCCAAAGGGTGAGGAAGGCGCTGTCTGTTGGCCATCCCCCTGGCATTGGAGCACCGGCCCCTTTGTCCCACCACCAAGAGGGAAGGCGCAGGGACAGCTGGGTCCAAGCTTACAAAGGCCTCTTTCAGGGGCCAGTCTGTCTGTCTCTGCAGTTCTAGGCAGAGCTAGGAAGCCCCAGCCCCCAGTAGTCACCTGGGGCTCTGTGGAAGTCATAGTATCAATACTTTTGCCTCAAGGCCTCTGGGGTGGGTTATCTCATGCCAGTCTCTGCTCTCTCCACAGGGTCAAGGAGGAGGTCAAGTTGGCCTGAGCAGACCTCTCCAGCTCTGGCTTCTTGCCAAGTCCCTTACCGTTCTTCTCCAACCCCTCAGATTTTATATTTTCTATTTCTGTGTATTTATATTAAAATTTATTAAATATAAATATCCCCAGAGACTCGACAGAAACCAGGATCCTGAGCCCAGGGACGCTATGCTAGATGGACTCTTCTAGTAGCGCCCTTGCCACCCGTCATTCCCTAGTCAATAATTCTGAACCATAAAGGGTGCCAGGGCTGGGTGGGATACACTTTTATGCAACTGTAAGACAAAATCCAGAAATGCCAAGTGCCTGTTTAATAGTTTTGAAAAGGTGCCCTTTTTACTGAGCATTGTGGAAGGGGTGGTTGGGTCCTCAAGGACCCTGGTTCTTTTCAGGCTCCTGAGGTAGTAACATCAGCCATTTTTAGACTGGTTCTGTTCTCATACCTTCCCACTGCCCTCAAGTGAGCCGAGAAACTCACACTGCCTGCCCTGTCTTCCCCCAATTCTGCAGGTGGAGGTTGGTAGTCTAGTTTCCTTTTTGAGATACTATTTCATTTTTGTGAGACGCTTTGTAATAAAATGGTACATTTCTATACCATTGTGACCTTTGTTTCCTAAGTGAGTGCCCCTGGGTTGATTTTAACTCTACTTTCCTGCCCTTCTGGTGTCCATGAGTTTCTAGGCCACCTCCTGTACAACAAAAAGTTCCCATCAACTTACCTGTCTTCTTGAGGTTAACTGGTTTCCACCAGTCTTCTCACCCTACCCCCAGAAGACCACTCATGAAAGCACCACTAAAGGGACGACATTTATTCCTTTTCCAAATGTTACAGTAAAACCAGGTGGAAGAGAATGGTTTTAGCAGTTAGAAAAAAAAAAAAGTACAAATCTGGGGTTTGGCCATTAAAAGTTATTTACAACAATGGGAGAAAAAAAGACAACAAGAAGTTGTTTCACATTACAGACCTCCCCCCACCCCAAAGCCTAATACTTGCTTACCAAGTCAAAAAAGAGACACAGGCAATTCACAAGCTGGAGGTTGGAACTTGAGTAAGACATTTATAAAAACCTGGACGGGGCAGTGTCCTCCCCAGCCCAGGTGCCACTAGGCACAGCACAAGAGACTAAAAACTCAACAGGGGGAAGGCTGGACACTCAAGATTTGGGAGTATAAGCACCCCACTTCTGGCTCAGGGATTTGGGGAGTAGGGTAAACAAAACCTACTTGGAAAAGAATTGGGGAAGAAAACCAACAATTGCCTTCTGCAGGGATGGGGACCGGGAAGGAGGTAGGGCCAGGGACAGGAGCATTTCACATCACTAACCTAACTTGGGAAGCTGTAAGGGACCATCTCCAACTGGCCTTAGGAGAAAAACCAGATGGCTGATGGGAGAATCCACAGGAGGGAGAGGAGGAGAGGGTACGTGGCTGGGAGGGGGCAATAGCCCCTTCCTTTCTGGGCACAGGAAGGCAGCCAGGGCACCAGGTCCAGGCAGTGACCTCACAAGGACAGCACAGTTTTTGCAGCTTAGAGATCACCCACCTGCCCCCACCCAGCTACTCATTCTGCTCAGCGCTGGCCGGTGCAGGGCCACTCTCCGGCCCCGAGGGAGCAGACGGCTCTGGAGCCTGAGGCCCTGCCTCTTCTTCGGTGTCTCCTCCCTTAGAGGCAGCACTAGCCTCTGCCCCCTTGGCCTGGGGCTCCTGGCTCTCAGGGGTGGCAACAGCCTTCCCTTCCTGGGCAGTGCCCTCGTCGCTGCAGGCACCGATCTCGCCCTGCTCCTGCTCTTCCTCTGTGGGTGAGGAGGCAGAAGAATCACCCCCACCCTCCTTCCGATTTCTCTTGAAGGACAGGCCGCTCAATTTGAAAGGTTTCTTGAAAGAGAATTTCTTCTTCTTCTTGGGGGTCTCCTTGGGGGGGACCTCCCCCTTGGCCTCAGCGCCCTGGCTAGGGGGTGCTGGCTCGATGGCATCGCCAGTGGCCCCGGCTGCCTCATCTGTTCCGTTCACAGGGGGCGACTCCCCTTCACCCTTGGGGGATAAGTCTCCATTGCTTTTCACGTGGCCATTCTCCTGCAGGGCAGAGGAGACAGCAGTGAGGGCCGGGGCTCTTCTCCCTTCCCCCAGCCCGCTTCTGGCCCCTTCTAGACAACGGAGTCCCCGATTCGATCCTGCCGCAAGCCGAAAGTCCGGCTTTAGCCTCACCCCACACCCGGGACCCCGTCAAACACCTCCCTCTCGGCCCTCGCAGGCGCGCGGGGACCGGCCACACAGAGGCCGCGGCCGGCAGGAGGCGCTGGGGTCCCGTGGC